TCACAGAAACACACAAGCCACTACAGTATGACAAACCATGGATCAAACATACAATCACGATGCATTGATAATTGTTGGTGATTGGAATTCTAAAGTTGGAAACAGAGAGAGGAGAGTAGTTGGAAAATATGGACTCTGTTAGAAATGAAGCTGGAAAATAAAAACCAAAACCAAGTAAATGAAGCTGGAGATCATGATAGAATTTTGCAAAACCAACAACTTGTTCATATAAATACCTTTTTCTCAACAACACAAAAGGAGATTACACAGAAATCAAAATGTATTATTCTGTGGAAAGAGGCAATGGAGAAGCTCAGTGTCAGCAGCTAAAACCAAATCAGGGACTGACTGTGGAACAAACATCAACTCATATGTATATTCAGGATAAAGCTGAAGAACATTTTAGCAAGTCCCCAAGAGCCAAAATATGACTTTGAATCTGTCCCACCTGAATTTCAAAAATATCTCAAGAACAATATGACACATTAATACTAATAACACTAATAACAAAAGGCCTGAGGAGTTGTGGGAGGACATCAAAAACATTATTCATGAAGAAAGCAAAAGGTCATTAAAAAGACAGGAAATAAAGAAAAGAACAAAGTGAATGTCAGAAGAGACTCTGAAACTTGCTCTTATCGTAAATAGCTCTTACCGTAAATATTATCATAAAATAGCTTAAGCAAATGGAAGGACGGATGAAGTCAAGGAGTTGAGTAGAAAATGTCAAAGGGCAGCTCTAGAAGACAAACTCAAGTATTATAACGAAGTGTGCAAGGCCCTAGAATTTGAAACCCAGAATATCTGAAACTAAAAGAATGCAAGAAAAAATTCAAGCCTCAAGTTGCAATCTTTAAAGATTCTCTAGGCAAAACATTGAATGATGCAGGAAGCATCAAGAGAAGATGGAAAGAATATACAGTCACTGTACTAAAAAAGAGTGGACATTCTACATTTTAGGAGGGAGCAATTGAGAAAGAACCAGTGGTTATAGGAAATAATTCAAAGTGCATGGAACTCATTAGCCATAAACAAGGCTCCATGGATTGATGGAACACCTATTGAAGTGTGTTTCAGCAAGCTGATGAAGCACTGGATGCACTCGTTTATGCCAGGAAATTTGGGAAACAGCTACTGGGCCAACTGACTAGAAAAGATTCATATTTGTGTCCATTCCAAGGAAAGGTAACCCAACAGAATGCTCAAACTCTAGAGCAATATATCACTGTATTGTACATAAGTAAAATTTTGTTTAAGATCATCCAACAGCAGGTGCAGCAGTCCATTGACAGGGTACTTCCAGAATTTCAGGCCTAATTCAGAAGAGGACATGGAACAAGGGATATCATTGCTGATGTCAAATGAATATTGGCTCAAAGAATACTAGAAAGAGAATACTAGAAAGATGTTTACTTGTGTTTCATTGATTATGCCCATGAATTCAACTGTGTGGACCATAAAGAACTGTGGATAATCTTGAGAAGAATGGGAGTTCCAGAATACTTCATTGTGCTCATGAGGAGCTTGTACATGGTTCAAGAGGCATTTGTGAGAACAGAACAGGGAATAATGCATGGTTTAAAATTAGGAATCGGGCGCATCAAGTTTGAGCACATCTTACCATACTTACTCAATCTGTATGCTGAGCAGATTATCAGAGAAACTGGATTATATGAAGAAGAATGTAGAATGTGGCATCAGAATTGGAGAAAGGCTTATTAATAACCTACAACATGTGGATGACACAACCTTGTTTACTGAAAGTGAGGAGGACTGGAAGTACTTACTGATGAGGATCAAGGATTGTAGCCTTCACTATGGATTACAACTCAATGTAAAGAAGACCCAAGCCCTCACAACTGGAAAAATAGGTGACATCATGATCAATGGATAGAAGATTGATTTTGTCAAGGATTTTTGTCTTGCTTGGATCCACAATCAATGTTCGTAGAAGTAGCAGTTAAGAGATCAAAAGATGTATTGTATTAGGCAAATCTGTTGCGCAAGACCCCTTTAGAGTATTGAAGAGCAAGAATGTTACTTTGAAGACTAAGGTGTACCTGACACAAGCCATGGTATTCTCCATTGCTTCATATGCATGTGAAAGTCGGACATTGAATAAGGAGGACCAAAGAAGAATTGATGAATTTGAATTGTGGTGCTAGAGAAGAATACTGGATGCACCATGGACTGCTAAAAGGACAAACCAATCTGTATTGGAAGAAATAAGGACAGTGTTCCTTGGAGGCAAGAATGGCAAGACTTAGTCTTACTTTGGACATATTGTCAGGAGAGAGCAGTCCCTGGAGAAGGGTTTGGTAAAGCAGATGGGCAGAGGAAAAAAGGAAGGCCCTTGACAAGCTGGAGCAACAAAATGGCTGCATCAACGGGCTTAGGAATAGGAACAATTGTCCAGATAGCGCAGGACCTTGCAGAGGTTCATTCTGTTATGTTTAGGATCACTATGGGTTGGAGCCAACTCTATGGCACCCAACAACAACAACATGATAGTCATCATGGCTTCCTAGATGATTAGCTAGTCATTCCAGATGGTTAACTGGCCACTACTTCATCTAAACAAGTCTGGCCAAAGCTGAATGCCTTCTTTCACAGGATGTTCATAACAAGACATTTAATTGGATACAGTAACATCAATATGTCAAACAAAAATATTCCGGTGTTCTTTTGAGATTTGTTAACTGGTGCAGGTCAATTAGCATCACCTCTGGATGTCCAAGGAACACTGTCTTGTTAATGGAGATCCCCACTGAGTCCCTTTCTGAAGTACCTTTCAAAAAGTGACATTAAAATCATGCAATTAAAATGTTCACAGTTGGGGTTGAATGTTCGCACTGAATGAGAGATGAACAAGTGGATATGCCAACATTTTGAAATAGCAATTGTTTTGTAATTAAATGCAATTAATTGTTATAACTGCTTGCTTTTCTCCACTTAAAGTTGATTGAAACACTAAGATTTAAAAAGTATACCTTTCTCTTTTCATCTTATCCAAAATTCTCACCAATAAGAAAAACACTGCAAAGGTGATGACTTGGCCTGCCAAGTACTATGGTGGGAGTATATCAAGAAAACAAATGACAGATTGAAAACAATAAACTTTAGGCTGTCCAGTACACATAATTTCTCCTAAATTCAAACAATCTACCTTTGTCAGATATTAAATCTGACAATTTCCCCTAGCTGACCTCTGGGAATAAAGTTGTTGAATATAAGTGATAACCAAAACGCAAATTCTAAAAATAAGAATAAAAATCTAGCCCATCAGTCTTTTACAAAAAAATGTTGGATAACCTGGAAAATGCTAAAAAAATAAAGAAGAAAAGGTTGATAAAATCTTACCTCAGGAAGATAGTCACTGGTATTTTATTCCTTACATCATGTATATTTTAATTATGTGTGTGTATATACATATGTATATATCTGTGTGTATATCTATGTATGCATATACATATATATATATATACACACACATTTTTCATTAGGAACACTGGTGACATAATGAGTTATGGATTGGACAGTTAATTGCAAGGTTGACAGTTTGAAACCACCAGCTGCTGAGAGGGAGATGAGACCTTATAGTCCCACAAAGACGCATGACCTTGGAAACGCACAGGACTATTCTTGGAACTGACTTGATGGCAGTGAGTTCGGATTGTGACTTTTAATTTTTCAATTGTAATCGAAGTATTTTTCTTCCCATTAAGTAAATTCATAAATATTATTTTAAACATCTTCTAAACTCTCATCTTACAGATTTACCACCATTTGCTACCCTCTTATTATTGGACATTTCATTATTTACAGTATTTTGCTGTTACGATACTACAAAAACACATTTTTAGAAAAACTCCTTGGGTTTATGGGTTTTTTTCTGTTTTGTTTTCTCTTTAGAAATTCTCTGGGTCAAACTTTAGGATTATTCTTTGAGGCCTTTAGTACAACCTGTCAAACTGCCCTCCAGAAAGATTACTTATTTTTCCCTAAGTAAGATTAGAAATTGTCCAATTCTCAATCTTGTAAAGTATTGTCTCCATAAGATTGACCCTTTGGACATCCCCTTACAGAAGGGTCTCAGGGAGGAGACGAGCCAGTCAGGGTGCGATGTAACAACAATGAAACGTACAACTTTCCTCTAGTTCTTAAATGCTCCCCGCCGCCCCCGCCCCCCTCCCCCCCGCCCACTATCATGATCCCAATTCTACCTTACAAATCTGGCTAGACCAGAGCATGTACACTGGTACAGATAAGAGCTGGAAACAGGGGATCCAGGGTGGATGATCCCTTCAGGACCAGTGCTGAGAGTGATAAAACCAGGAGGGTGGAGTGGAAAGGGGGAACCAATTACAAGGATCTACATATAACCTCCTCCCTGGGGGATGGACAACAGAAAAGTGGGTGAAGGGAGACATCGGACAATGTAAGATATGAAAAAATAATAATAATTTATAAATTATCAAGGCTTCATGAGGGAGGGGGTACTGGGGAGGGAGGAGGGGTAATGAGCTGATACCAAGGACTGAAGCAGAAAGAAAATGTTTTGAGAATGATGATGGAAACAGATATACAAATGTGCTTTACACAATGGATGGATGTATGGATTGTGATAGGAGTTGTATGAGCCCCCAATAAAATGATTTTAAAAAAAGATTGATCCTTTGGAATACAACCAGAACCTCCCTCCACCCAACCCTCACAAAGAAACAAACTACAGCAAAAACCTTTCCTACAGAAAAATAATTTGTTAATAGACAGTGTGGTTGTGGAGGTAAATCGAAACTGAAACCTGATTTGTTCAATCGCTATGTCTGTTTCCATCCCAAATGGGACAGGCCAATTGCTCTCCAGGCAGCTAAGTTTTACCTTTAAGCAGCCAGAGAACACACTAGCTGCTGTCATTGATGAGGACATCCGCATATTAGACTAATCTAAAGTCTATCCACATTTCACTCACCACACCCTAACCCCTGCCTCCTTTTCAGCCGTATTAATTAAAGATGGACATGAAGTCATCTTAGAGAAGATAGACGACTGGAATGTGGTTGAATTGGTGGTGAATGGAGATGTTGTCTTCCACTGCAAAATCAACGACCTGGAGTTTGGTAAGTCTCTCAAGGTTTCGAACCACAGTTTGCCTTCCGTAGGGAGATATCAAATTTTCACTTGACGTCACCAGGGTCTCATACACAATTCAAATCAAGATTCTGTCTAAGCTTTCACTTTTTACTAAAAACCCTGTGTGGCACATGTGTACACAATAAAATGCTTCCAATCCTTAGGGTTTTTCCCCCCAGGACACTGGGAAGAAGTGATGGCAAAACAGAAAAAAAATTAGTGAAGCTTTCACTCTGTACATCAAACGATGAAGCCCAAACCAAACTAACTGTCATCAAGTCAAAGCCAACTCACAGCAACTGTACAGGACAGGATGAAACTATCCACGTGAGTTTCTGAGACTGTAACTCTTTATGAGTAGAAAGCCCTGTCTTTCTCCCGCTTCAAATGAAAGAATGGAAATTTAGGTATGGTACAGTTGTTCTTTTTAGCTTTGCTTTCACTTTAATAATGCATGTCTGTATCATTTATTTTCAAAACAGGCTTTGTTCCCTTTCATTTTTAAATCTAGGCTTCCTAAAACCTTGAAGGTCAGTGTGGCCAGCATTGTGTTGCCTGCATTATCTTTAATAAGCTAGGGATTTCCTGATGTACAATTGAGAACCTCTGACTTAGTGGGCTGGCACTGTTCAGGTCTCCCTGTGCTCAGTCCAGATAGATGAGCACTCATAGATGGATCTATTTTAAAATGTATTATTATGTATTAATATTTCACATACCAGTGACCTTTGCAAATGTATTCTTATGGAAGCTGTATGTTTAATATGATAACAAATGGCATATGAAGCTAATCAGAATAACATTAACTGTATTTCCTTATGATTCCCCATGTAGAATAAATGGTTAAATACTTGATTACTAATCAAAATGCTAGCAACTTCGATCTACCCAGAGGTGCATTGAACCAAAGGCTTGATAAGCTACTTTGAAAGATTTGTCATCATTGAAACCCCTATGGAACATCACACTACTCTAACATACATGAGGTCACCTTGATTCAAAACCAACTCGGTGGTGACTAGTTTTATTTGTTTTGTTTGTTTTCTGTCTTTTTTAAGGCGGCGATGGTAAACTGGACCCACTGTGTGAACAGGCCAGGATTGCAGTGTTAAGTGCCTATTGATCTCCTCATCAGCACAGTCATCTCGGGCAAATATCTTCTTTCCTGTGAGGCATACTAGGGTGGTCTTGCCAGGGCCAGGCCAATCAGACCACAGCTACACCAACCCGTTCTGCGTCCTTCACTGTGACAGGTTTTTCACCTGGCTGCAGGGAAGCAGAGGTCCCCACAAGTAATAAAATCAAAGCATTGGCAGCAATCTGGACTCATAAAGAGAGCTCTCCAATATCAGGTATATATTGAGTTGAAAACAATAATAAAATGCAATCTAATAACAAAGCGCCAGCCCTTACTAATAACAAATTGTTGCCAGAAGCATTTGGCAATTCCATTCCATAGGAAGTAAAGAGCCAGGAACAAGATGAAATTAAAGATGGGGATAGGAGTGGGGAGTGGAAAGTTGGAACCAAAGTTAATATCAGTATTGGAAACTTGGAAACGGAACTATTCCTACCGATTCATTTCTTGCTACCAATAGAGTATATGCTTTAAATTGTTAATATAAACTTACCCAGAGCCAAACTGTCCATTATTCTTATTTAAAACAAGAAAATTATCTATCTTCTTTTGTATTAACCAGTCCAAGGGAATGCCCTCAGGAGTCCAGGGTAGGGCATAAAATGGCTTTCCTGTGCCTTGGAAGAAGACACAGCCCTGAAAAGTTGAAGAAAGGTTCTATTTTTGGTCACAGTAAAGCTGAGTCACATCAGGATGAATTTGTTTTAACTTCCGTCCGTGGGCACTAAACTAGTATAAATCATCAGGTGTAGGTCAAGAACAAGAAACCCTGGAAAGTGGTGTCACGGGGGTTGGTGTCACCAGTACCTTAACTCACAGTCACCCCCTATTATGGGCCTCCTCCTGGGCCAAAGCATACAATGTTTGGTAATGTTTATTATGAATTTTAATGATAGAATGTGTGATCAATGTAGTTTTAAATTACTTATATACAGTATCTCATAAAAACTAACACTTTTTAAATAGATTCTATAATGAATTACACTATGGATTGCATTATTAGTAACTGAGTGGAAGCCTATTTTGACTTTTCTCCTTTTCCTTTAATTACTACATCATTAAATATATTTAAATATATTTAAAAATATATTTACATAGGTTCAGAAATACTAATTGCCACAATATTGTAATTAGAACACCAGGACATTTGAAAAAGTCAGCATCTATCAACATATTTACAGCAAAAAAGAAACCATCGTGAACTTGTAGTGCCTGCAGATCAAGCCATATGTTTCTATGTGCTTTTTTATGCCTCTATGTGCTTTTGGATAATTATGACAGCTCTGACCAGAATGCCTTAAACTTCAAGAAGTAGAGAGTTTGAACCTTCTAGAAATCTATTTACACATGTAGCTGGACTTATGAAAAAATATTTTTGTTGCTATAACTAACAACAGGGATACTTTTTATTTAAAATATTAGTTTCTGCTGAAACACGACATGGAAATTTCATACGCAGTCATTTCTTGTGTGAGCCCCTCTAAAAGTGTCACCTGGTGCAGTGTACACCCCATATTACCCTGTGAGGCCACAGACCATGGTGACAAAGTGATTGACACAGTAATCGGTGCCACTGAAATTATTGCTGTCAACTGAAAGACTGGCAGTTTGAGCCCAACAGCCACTCCCAGTGGGAAAAGACCTGGTGATCTGCTTCGATAAAGATTACAACCTGGAAAATCCTCTATGGAACAGTTCTACTTTCTCACAGGGGGCTGATCTGGTTTGGGACAACTAGATGCCACCCAAGAACATAGGCTGGGAGGAGTACAAATATGGACAGAATGTCACTAAATGTACGTTCTTGGTAAGACAGTACCCCATTTTGTAAAAAAAAAAGAAAGAAAGAAAGAAAAGTGGCTTCCTTAACAAGAGACTTCTGGAAAGCTATGTGAATGGGAAGAGCTTCCAGAGGCTTCAGAAATACTTCTAAAGAGAAATGGCCTTCCCTGCTCTGCCCCCTTGTTACCCAGTAAAGAAATTCTTTCAGCTGCACCTAATCCACCATTGCCTTCCTTTGCACCAGAACTTAAAAGGCCACCAGTGATTCCATGAAGCACTTGTATAAGATCTTTCACTCATAAAAGGAAGTAAAATCCCAGGCAGGCCTCACTTGCAAGGTTTGATTCCAAGATTTTAAATTACTTGAGAGTCATTTTAAATACGTAATCATCCTTAACGAGCAACTGAGACTAATAAAAACGTCTTCCTCAAGATATCTTGTGCTAGTTTCATGTGTTTCTTTCACTGTCATTGAGTCAGCTCTGGGTTTCTGAGACAAGAGCTGCTTACAAGAGTAGAAAGCCCATCTTTCTCCCACAGACCTGCTGGTGGTTTGGATCTGTCAACCATACGAATCACAGACCAAAGTGTAACCACTGCACCACTAGGGCTCCTCCTATGTGTCTCTAATAACTCTAAATTTAGTCTCATTTTCTCAAAGACTGCTATCAATGTTGCAGCATGTCTTTATTTTGCCATAAAAAATTTATTATAAGAGAAATACCTTTCATTAAAGGAACAGGAAAAAATACAAGTAAGGATATTGCATAAAATTAAAATCCCTAATGAGATCAGTTTAAAACCACTAACGCTCTAAGGGCGAAAGATGAGGGTTTCTGCTCTCATAGAAATGTACAGCCTCAGAAACCCTGTAGAGGGTTGCTATGAGCTGGAATTAACTTGATGGCAGTGCGTTGTCTTTTTGTCAGTTGGCTTGTTTTTAACATTTGATATATCAGGGGAGTTCAAATTATAGGCCATTTGACTAAAGTAAAATGGCCGTTGAAGGCACTGTCTCTTACCCTTCTTCACTTCTGCTTCTTGTTGACAAGCCCTAACTTAACCTGTCACAGATTCAAGCCGGTAACTAAGGAATATTTTCTCTCAAGTTCTCATTGCCATTGATTCAATTCTGACAGAATAGAACTGCCTCTGTGGATTTCTGAGACACTCTACAGGAGTAGAAAGTCTCCTCTTTCTCCCTGCCCTGTTGTTAGGAGACCTGGTGGTGTAATGGTTATGCATGGACCTGTGATCTGCATGGTCAGCAGTTCAAAACTACTAGGAGTTCTGCAGAAGAAAGATTGGGCTTTCTATTCCCATAAACAGAGTCTCAGAAACCCACAGGAAGGTCACTATAAGTTAGCGCTCACTCAAAGGCAGAGAGGATGTGGTAAGTTAAGACAAAGGTTCCAGCAGGTTACCAGCATATTCTATTAGGATTTTTTTTAATGCAGATTATAGGAGGTTTCCAGGAATAAGTATGGGCACTAGAAAATTTGGGGCGTTGGACATTTTGTCCTATACTTTACTTCTATTTCTACTGTGGCTGTGGGTAAAAAAGGGGGAGGGGGCAGCCTGCCTTTATGATGAATGTAGTTGAAAGTAGATTAACTAGTATGTAGGGAAGTGATTACACAAAGAACGTTCCCCAATGTACGACCTTAATGATTTGCCAAAAATAGTCCATCAGACCTTACCTTAGATAGTCAAAATATTCTTTACTGTTAATTCCTGAATTCAGAATATATCTAGCCTCACAAAACAGCCGCCCCTATTCATGGTCTCCACATGCTGGAAGTCTGTGATTCCCCATTCAAATGGTCTTTCAGTAAATCTATCTTGTTCTATTTCAACAGTTAGTCTTTTTCCCTAAAATA